CACAAAACCGCTCAAAAAATTCTAAAACTGAAAAAATTTAAAATATATTAAATTTTCTTGATTCTTCCTAATAATAAATATTTAACAAAGATTGTACGCAACATTTTATTTAAAATATATTACAGAAGTTTTTCATAACAAATTCCAATTTTTCGGGTAGGTTTCAACCCCTGCCAATTTGAATTCAAAGCCAACTTGACTAAAATTCCCTCGGAAGTGAATTGCAGAACCTGTCAGATTGCTATCTATTTATTTATTTACTACGATACGTTCCTTAATAACAATTTTTAATCGTCTTCAAAAAAAAAGGAGAATTCGTCGGATTTTTTTCTTTTTATGTATGTTACCGAATAAATTTGGACCACGTTAATCGATTTCTGTAATTCTTTTTTATAGGAAAGGATCTTGAGGAAATTAACGATAATCTTAAATTTGTATATGAGAATTAAAGCCGGTTTTATTTTTTGCTTAAAAATTACTTGTAACTTATCAAGCTGACTTAATTTTTACATTAAACTCTCCCGAAAATTTGATGTGATATACAGAATCCAAAATATACGAAAAAGTGTGCAAAGCTATGTAGACAAATTAGCAAAGGCCATATAAATGGGTACCTTTCAGGAGCCGGTGCATATAAAGATACTAACGCAATAAAAAACATAGAAAATATCGAAATTGACGAAGAAGCAGATAGTAAACTACTTTTAAAGTCCTGTTTAAGTTCTTTCAGAAGTATGTGTTTAATGCAGAAATGATAGATAAAGAGCAGCGCAAAAAATGGGATCACCAGACCATCTTTAACGTATAAAGGAAACATGCTAAACACCGTAGCTTCCAGAAACCATAGAGTTTCTAGGGGGTAACTGCTGAACAAACCCAATGCAGGTACAGCAACAAGTAGTATAGATTTTTCATGAACCTGCAATCATTGAAATTTAATTATATTCAAAATTATTAACTGCTTACCTGAAAGGAAAACAAGTAAAAAGCCATGGCCGTGCTCACCAAACTCAAAAGGAATGTTTGTTTTCTTTTGTTAAAGAACATATGTATGTTGATTGGCAATACAAAAGCTGATGTGACACCTAAACATAGCGTGGCCATTTGTTGGTTTTGTAATTTGTTTCTGCAGAATAGCGACTTTAATAAGATTAAAAAAAATACTACGCTCTATGTATGTACGTCATTACTTGATTTTATAAACCACATTGAGAGCACACCAAAAGTTAGCTACTTTATCTTCGAAGAGGCCGCGTCCAATGGGGAACAGCCGATAGAGCACTTCCAGTATAGACGTCACCGATGTTAGCCATGGTAGCCAAATTACCAGAAACGTAGCTAAAACCGTACTAGCTATAAACGCAAATGTTTTAAGTTTTGACAAGAATCTAAAATATAAGAATTCCATTAAATATTAACAGAAAAAATGTTCCAATACGCTCCACTTGCCCCTTTTGATCACAACACGTTCGCAGTAGGTAAATGAAAAAGGGTAATGCATGGTAGAGCTCCATTTGTTTATAATTTAAAGCCAACGTATATAGAAATGAACCCAAATAAAAACGTCCCTTAAAAATATAAGCTACTGCTAATAAGCATAAACCAAGTGATACATTATTGTACTGGAAGTGTCCGTTATCAATAAGAATTTGTCCAGGATAAAAAACCATGGGTAGCAGATAAAAGAGCAACGATTTCTTAAAATTTGTAAATAGCACCGTGCCAAATATCAAAATAGCTGGCAGATATAAAAGGATGTCAGCAAATAATACCGTCATTCGCATAAAATTTTTATGTGCCGCAGATTCAATGCCTCGTGATTCACCCAATTTGACAAAACTTTCATTGAGCCCTTTACCAACAATACCAATGATATAGCTGTGATACGCTGTTATAGGTGGGTAATCAAGTCCCCAGTACAATAAATTATTTTCTGTTGTGTTTCTGTACCAATCTCTTGGCTGTACATTTGTGGTAATCTCTTGCCAATGCCTTTGTGCCTCGTAGTCTCCATACATTGGTGGGTTCCCAGCGCCAGAGTATGAATAAAGCGATACGATGCAACGAATAGCTACGGCGACACTTAGTGCAGCTATAACATCTGCCTTGATTACATTAATTTTCATTATTTTTTTATTCCAATTAGGCTACGTCATAAAAAAAACTATGCCGGCAAAAAGTTTGGTGTATTTATTTACAATTTCTAAAGCAGCTGACTAGTGGTGTGGCAATGTGCATTTAGATAAGAAGCGCGTAGTGTGTGTGTGTACGA